CGGACGGTTACGGAAATGCACGGCCGCTCAGGCTGCTAGGTTTGAGGTAGAGAGGGTCGGAGTAAGAGTCCGGCAAATAGTGCGAGAGACAAAGAGTAACGGATCGAGAACGTAGCAGAACGAATCTTAACTATGTATCGAGATCCCTTCACCAATTAATAAACTGGGAGACTCACCGGAGCTGGTACTCGGGCAGGAGGTTCCACTCCTGCCCTTAACCATATAAAAACTTTGCCCATCTCCAGCGGGGCGCTCGGTATCTCACCCGGGCTTCTGCCGGTCCGTGGAGACGTCTCCGTCGGGTACTCTCCTCTGCCGAGCAACTCGGTACGTCGAGACTATCTCCCCACGGCAGATTCGAGCACCTTGACCTCAACTAAACAATAACGAAATCTTACGAGAGCCTTGACATAACTGTACGACTCAACCCGAAAGCGTAGTTTCTGAGCAGGGTGGCGACCCGAAGAGAACCAGAAATCGAGAACGTTATCTGTGTCGGTAACCGGAGCCGCCTTGGGACCGTGATTCGAAAAATCACGTCACAGTACATACTATTAGTACTTCGAGAACTGTAACCAATGCTGTGTCTTCGAACTTTTTCTTTTCCAAAGAACATTTTAACAACTTAGTTTTTAAGGATATACTAGGAAGAGAGTGATGGAGGCATAGGAAGGAATAGGAGATTCGAAAATTGAGTAGAAACATTTTTCGAAAATTGAGTAGAAGGCAGCAAACAAGGAAGATGTTGATGAAAGGAAAAAGAGGAAGATTGTTAAAAAGAAAGAGTGAAGAAGAGAGATGGTAAGAACTGTGGAAACAAGGACAGAAGAAAATGCTTAAAACGTATGCACGACGACTAGATTATTCTGGAGGATCGAGAAAAGAGAACATTGGAAAAAAGTAGGAAGTATGAGGGAGCGAAATGGGCCCCTCCTCACCCATTTCCGTGAGGTCCTGCCTCTTCTGAACGGAGCTACGACCCCTCTGAGGCCCCATAGAGGACCGTGTTTTTTTTTTATTGAGAGAAACCCCCGAGTCCTGCGGCTTTCGCGCATAGGACTAGGGAGGGAAAACCTCAATGTGAAGTTAAATGTGAAAAGGATAAGATAAGTTAAACGCAAAAGGGATAAGTAAAACGCGAAAGGTCTACCCCTAGTCAAGATTCACCGCAACGAAAGACCGCGGACGTAGCACCCGGCGGCGCCCTTGCGGGCACGCCAGGACATCCCGAAGAACGATATTCGACGCTACAACCTCCGTCCCTTCCCACCGAGCAAGCTCAGTGAGTTAGACGTAAGGAACCGCGCCCGCCGCCGGCGGCGGACCCCGTTAGCCATCGATCCCCGCGCAAAATGTCTCCGACAGAGGGTGACTTTATACTAGCAGGTGCTCAATAGTATCCGCACCTACCCCAAGTGAAGAAGACCCCCAAGTACAAGCACAAATAGGACTTTACCCAGAGTCAACGGACTACCACACCGACCTCTCCACCGACACATAGGATCGACTCTACCCACACAAGTGCCCAAGGGTTAACGACATGTTGGAACGTTTTTATCAAAGCGAACAAATTAATACTAAATACGCGAGAGCTAAACACCTGGTTAGATTCACTATACGAAAGACCATGGCCGTAGATACCCTAAGGGGGCTCAAGGCCCCCGTCGGGAGACCCATAAGGTCTTGTTGCGGCCACAACTTGGGCCCGACCCACTGAGCAAGCTCAGCGGATGAGGCGGAAGGGCAACCCCCGACATCATAGTCTATACGTGTAGCTTCTCTAACAGGGTAACTACCTTTTTATATGACTACTCTAGTGAATATGCTCGACCCGACCAAGGAAATAGGAAAAGTAAGACAAACACAATGGAAAGTGAGAGGGAACAGAGCGAAACGAGAAGAATGAAATGAAGGTTGAAATAAAGAAGCGAAGAAGTAGAAAAGTGAGGAATAGAGTTATAAAAGTGAAGAAGAAATCAGGAAAGAGATAAATAAGAAAGTGAAGAATGAAAAATAAAGAAATAAGTAGTTAAAGAAGAAATAAATATAAAAGAAGAAGAAAGTTGGAAATGGATATGAGGGGTGTTTCCAAGAGACCAGTATACGAGACCGGCTCGAGGAAGAATGACCGCTCCGAGTCCGGGCATTACCTCGAGCGCTCCCCCCACCATCTGCCTGCCCCCACTCGCCGAGTCCTGCGCGACGAATTTGCGCGCACACAATTTTGGACAACTTCCAGTACTTCTAAATATGCTTGGCCAGAATTTCCGATTTCTAAGTATCAATATTTTACTTTATTGATTGAATTAATTATTTTAATTTTTCAAACACCTAATTTATTATTATTTCTATTTGAACGTAATTTATTTTCGATATTCTACAATTTCAATTCAATTTTTATCTACTCCGTATATTCTGCGAGATTTTGATTTAACCTTAATTTTATATTTTAAATAAATTTTAACAGTAAATCAAGATTCAATAATATTTAGTAAAAATTGAGGTGCTACACGGGTGTCAGTTTGGCACTGGACTTTCTTAAAAATGTCTTTAAAATGATTCAACAATAGGCCTTTTCAATAGTTCTTGAGAAGTTCTATAGTTCCCGGGCTCGTTCTAAGGGTTGCTTTGGGAAACAGCGGTGAGTAGCGGAGAACCTCTGCCCGCCATGCTACGCGTCCGTGTTCCCGTTTAGCTCGGCTACGACGGGATTCGTATTGTCGACGGAGGCGATGATCACGAAATCCTACTCCCGGACTCGCCGCTACGATTTAGCGCCATGCTTTTGGTATCGCCTAAACCCGGAGCGTTGTGCATCTCCCCACTCATCTCTGCCTAAAATCGTAGCGTTGTGCATCTCCCTAAGTACTCATCACTGGTATCGATACTAATATTGGCGTGGGTCGTGAACTGCTATAGTGTAAGCACTCTTGGTTTGTTTTACTTCTTCGAGTTTCAACTAATTCAACGCTAATCACAAAAAAGAGGCTTGTAATTTGTGCTTTGCAGTTTGTTTCCGTGGTATCAGCGTTTGGTATGGCTGAAATGGGATTGAGTTTAGATGACATAATTAAAAAATCGAAACCTTCAGGAATGAGAGGCAGAGGCGGGTAAGAAAACTAACATATCAATAGTTATGTCTAGTTAGTATTTATTATAGAACTCCAAATCGCTTGGGTCTGTTATAACCTTAAAGATCCAAGTACTCCGTAACGGTTATTTCCTGTACGTTAATTATGAAATAGTATAATATTACATTTTATTTATAATAATATTTTTTCTAATACTTCTTTCTTGTATATTGTATGTACAGTACAATATGATTTTTGGAGTTTAGTGTCTATTGGAAATGATAACTATTCGTAACTGATTAGAAATGAAAGCATTTACTAATTTTAATTGGATTATTAAATTGTTTAAAGTATTTCAGTTTTTTATATGGTTTTCATTTAGGCATGGACAGGACTGTATTGTTATAATAATTCTTTATCATTCATCAAAATCAAAACCAGCATTTACTTAAAACTACCATCTGAATCATAATATTTCTTTGTATTAAATTGTTTTGTTTAATTTTGCATTTTCTAAATTATTTATTCCTTTCATAATTTTAAAATAGTAGTATGTGCTGTAATGATTACAATCTGTATATGCAATTGTTTTTGCAGAATACGTAGAGGTGTCAGCAGAGGAGCTCGTGCTAATGGATCTGTCCGAGGACGTGGAACGCATGTGATTGCAGATGCACGCTTTAAGATAATCCAAAAAAATCGTGAGAAACTCACTGATGCACGTGATAAGTTAGCTGAAATAGCTAAGCAAAGTGATGCACGTTTGAAGCTAGACAAGCTGCGTGCATCTCATTTAAAGAAGATCGATGCACCTATGTCTGGGATTTCGCGGAAAACTGGACGGAATGGACGGATTTCGCTAACTACTAATAAAATGCCTCCAGTAATACAGCTTGTATCACCTACGAACTATATACCAACTCATACAAGAACTGTTGGATATCGATCAACTCCTGTAGCAGAACCACATTATGTGGATGATATGAATATGGACTATAATGAAGGTCAGGAGTTATAGAGGCTTACTGGCTAGTTTTTAAAGTTATTTGAAATGGCTCTTATTTTTATTCTACTTTTATATTTTTAGATTACTTGATAGAACAACCTCCATTAAGACGTACAGTTAGTAATGAATATGCACCAACACCACCGCCACCACCACCTGTGTTCAGTATTAAACCTTCGTCGCCGTATACCTGGGTAAAACCCCCAACGAGCAATGTTGGAAGGAATATTCCTTCACGGAAAGCAGAGGTTGAGAGATCCAGGGAGTTTAAGATGGCTGCTCGCACTGCTATGGTACGTGTAAGTTTCACTTGAAGTAAAGGGATTTCTGCTTTCTCATGAATCCTTAACATTTTGACACTTAATTCACAATTAACTTAAACCATGTACTACTTTTTGGAACTTACAAGTTTTTTTGTTGTAGACTAAGCCCATTCCTTCATCATTTCGAGAAGACTGGTCATTCAACTCAAAATCGAGGTATGGTTTTATATTGGTTATGCTTTCACAACTAAGTGATTACCCTTCCATTGATATCTTAAAAAAATTGTATAACCCTCCATTCATTCTATGGAAAACAAACGATTTCTAGAACAACCGTTTGTAATACTTGAATCAATACATTATTCATTATTTAGTTATTTCTCACCGACAATCTACCATAAATCCTTTATTTCGATTCGCCAACCTTTATTAAGAATAAAATTATATATATTTCAAAAATCCTACTTCAGAACTATCTTAACCGATGATGTCGTGGATGACAAATATTTTGAGCAACGTTCCCATCGAGAAGTAGGAGTGAAATCTCGGTTAGATTCAGCACCGATAAAGCCAAGAACGATGGGAATTCTTTCACGTCCCAAAACGAGTTCCGGCTCGTCATCGCAATCTACAGGATATCGAATTGTAGTTTCCAATTTGCAAGCAAACGTTACTCAAGAAGATATCAAGGTATTTAACAATTTATAAAAATGTCAACCAGTCTTCGTCGATAAATTTCAATAACCTCTAATAGAAGTAGCATGTACTCAAACAATTCTACTGGCTTTACAGGAATTATTCGAGGACGTCGGAGAACTATTGGTATCCAGATTAGTCAGACCAGGTACCGCTGAAGTCATCTACAAGACTTTAAAAGACGCAACCAAGGCCGTCGAGACGTACCACAATAGGCAGCTAGATGGACATCCCATGAAGTGTCTGTTGGTGAATCCTCGACCAAAAAATAATCCAACTGGACCAGCAGTAAGACCTATGGCAGAGTATGTATAAATAATTAAACAAAAAAATACTCTTATAATTTCATTTTGATCCCATATCAATAACTTGATTATACCCAGGACAAGAAGAAACGCCAGTTCAAGTTATGTACAACCGAGCTTAGGTGCAGTCCATCGTGCGTTATTCGACGATTGCCATAATTAAAGTGCATCCTCTCTGAACGAGTGCAGGTATCGTTATTGAAGGGTGTTAAATGTTAATTCAGATTCGCAGGCGCTCCTCTTTTATTCCCTGTTTGTATGTAGCTCTTGCAAATTGCCTTCTATCTTTCGATTCAAATCTTTTTTTTTTTTTTTAATCATACAAATATACAATTATGTCTCGCGAGTCTTGGACGTTTCTCGAGATAACAATGCTCGAGCGTGGGTCAATGAATTTCTTGTACATTTCATACAATTGAATAAAGGTATACAATGAATGGTTTTTTTAAAACAAACACGTTTAAAAAAATATTGATATACCTGGTTATTGGTATGATAGGTACGCGATTAGAACATGTGTGAAAAGTGGATGTGTGTCGTTCAAGTGAATGTGTATTGCCGATTAATGAAGATCATGTTGATAATAATAAAAGGAATAATAATGATAAAGGGGTTTATTCACTTGTACAAGATGACCACAACGATGTAGCATCCGTATCTGTAGAATACAAAAGCTATCACACCGTCGCGGACATCGCTGTGGCGCACCATTTTTAGGTATACATATATATCCGTTATTATTAATAATCAGGAGCTTCAATCAGAGCAAGAAGTTTATTACGACAATTGTAATTTGATGTAGTAAATGGCACATAAATACTCGCTTTTATTTTCGTCCCCTTTTTGCTTTTTTCTTCGTTTTTGAGAGCAAAGCCCTTTGTTACCAAAAACAAAATCTTGGTCTATCGCGAAATGATCTCACGAACTACGAAGAACAGATCGAGAAAAGGAAAATAAGGAATAAAAAATATATAACGGAAACGTCGAACTTTATCGACACGTTTCGAGTTGAGTCGCGCATACATACATATACCTACGTCGCTTCCGTGAAAAAGCACACCTCGCGAAAGGAAGGATAGAAACACAAAGAAAAGAAAAAACAACGCTAAATGATAACGAATTATCAGATGCAATACGATACGATATAAAATATATGTATATATAGCTAGAGAAAAAATGAAGATTCGAAAAGATGCGAACGCACGCGGAATCTATCTCGCGTAAACGTGATTCGCGTATATTTACAAATGGATTAAAAGGGATGATTGAGTGGACATATATTTAGGTCGGAGCGAAGAGTTAACGGGAGGGATACGACTCATTAAATGGTAGAGTCTTTTAGAATACTGACATATCCTTCTTACACGCTCACAAAATAATTTAAACCTGCCATTAACTACGCGCGCTGGTTGTCTCATTTGGTTACGCAACGAGTCGCGCTTGATTTACGTACAAAATTATCATCTATCGACCATGGTATTAATTAAGGTAGATTGGGAAATGGGAGCAGGGAATACGAGGGGATAAGAAGGGAGGGTGAGCGAACGTGATAAGAAGGGTGAAAAGTAAAAGTAACGGTAAGGAGACTTAATTTCTACGGCTAGTCGATTTGGGCTTGTTTGACATGCGAAGTACTTCCGCGTACGACATATCGAGTCGCTTGAGTCTGGCGACACCCTCGGAAGCCGCACTTGGCTTGTACTCATAACTGGAATTGTGCTGCTCGCTAATTTGACGATTGTAACCGGTGCCACTTTGTTTACGTGAGCTCACGGGGGAATCTCTCGTTTTACTGGAATAATAATGTATCGTGTTGCCATTCCAGACGCCGTTGGTCTCTAGTTGCTCTGCATTGGTCAAAGGTCTGAATTTCCGTTTACCAGCGCTGTTCGACTTTCCATGCATCATACGAGGATTGGTCGTGGGTACGATGTCCGGTGTGATTGGTCTGTCGTTGTACGTCAGCTTCCTGGCGGGATTCTTCTTGGCGGAAGACTTCTTGCGCACGTTTACATTCACTGATAGATATTCCAGTTGTTGACGTCTTGGACCTGCTGGAATCCTTGGGGTGTTACTTTCCGTAGACTTGTCCCGGATACTGATATTCTCCTTCTTGACGATATCGTCTTCCTTCTTCTGGTCGAATACCGGGGTGCAAGCTCTGTAAGGTGGTTCTGATACTATGGATGAGACAATGGATGACATGACGCTTTGATTGTCGTCCGTTGTTATTTCGCTGGGGGCTTCCTCTTGGGCAGGTGTCACCGGTGGTACCCTGGGTACTGAGTTCGTCGAATCATCCAACAGAGGAAGCTTCTCGCCCTCGTCCTTAGCCTCAGCAGCGCGTTTCAGCACGATGAATATCTCCCGGAAGAGCTGTCTATACTCTGGTGTCTTCCGGAAGCGACTCTCTATGGGACTGGCGTCGTCGTAAATGCTGAACTTGCAGTCCTCGCCGTCGGCTATGGAGCAGAGGAAGGACCCAGGTCGACCGTCGGTCTGAGTAGCCTTGTTGCTGGTCTCGTCCGAGAAACCTGAAGAGGATGTTTCTGCCTCGGAGAAGTCTGTTGGCGTCGCTGAAAATGGTTTCTTTCCTTGACCAGGTTTTCCTCGTCGGGCACCTGTTCCGTTATTAATCTTTCCGTTCTCGTGGTGACTGCCAGCCTCCGATTGAACACTGTGGAAGTTGAACTCTCCGGACATCTCGAGCTCCTCCTGGAGGGACATGCATGGCGTTGGGACGCTGGTCTTTGGTCGCGACGTTGGATGTCTCTGCACCTCGAGCAGGGCCTCGTATTTTTCTACCAGAACTCTGTACGGGTTATCGTCCGCCTCGTTCTCGCCGTTGGTCTTGAGACTCGTATCCTGTGTACACATAAGCAATCAATGGGTTTCCAATGGTAAGTGGATACTCATTTCTAATGACCTCATCGCCGTTGTCGCGTGCGGTTTACACTTAGCGAACGATCTATTTCAACTTTGCACATTTTTTTTTTATCTTGTCTCGTCCACAAACCCCGCTCCCCAAGCGCTCTACAATATCTTATAAACTGTTATAGAGTATTAATAAGCCCCGGCACGGATGACGGACAAGACATATGGTTCAAGTATCCTTTCATTGAACGAAGTTCCATTGTGATTTCTGATTTTTATCTGACGTTACAAGAGTGTGACAAAAAAATTGTTTCAACTAACAATCAGCAATCACAATGAAACTTTTTGTAAATTTTGCACAGTTTCAAATTAAAGTTACTTTTGTACGGTCATGCAGTGGTGCGTTATAAGAAGCATATCGAAAAATCTAGAGTATTTATGCCACAGTAATATCAGGTTCTGAATATGCAGAGTAAGTAAGGATAAGCGGGATCCAGGATAACATAGGATTCCGCCAGATTTATAGGATATTAAATAAAAAGAATGCAAAGGCACCGTTAACAAAATGTTTTTATTTAAGATCATATAAATCTGGCACTTACATTGCACAACACCGCCTCTACGATTATTCAGCTAGTGACGCTAATCGGAAAAAAGAAAAGAAAAAAAGAAAGGCGTATGGATAACATGCGGATGAGGATTCACGATCTCTGAATGCACGTAGCAAAATATTTTTTACAAAATAAAAGGCATACGCGTGCATATCTTTTTTTAAGTACTTTTGAATTACTCAACACGCGCTTTCTTCATAGGAGATTACGCGTGCCAATCAATTTTAGGAATATAGATTGAGATTCGTTGGAAAGAATGAAGAAAAATTTTTCTTCAAAATTATAAGTACGATGACTGCGTTATTACTAATTCACGTAGCACATTGGCTAATTTTAATACTGTTACTTATCAATGCGTGACTCTGTATTATTATCTTATGTAAAAGATCAGCATCAGGCAAAATAGCAAAATTAATTAAATACAAATGAACGGGAAACAGACGTAACATACAACGTTAACGAAATACTAATCTTAGTCCCCCTACGATATTTTTAATAACAAACTTTTCATTGAATTTTAATAGTAACTGCTCACTTTCCAAAATCCTACAAATTATTCGAAAAAATGACTAACGCGGACGACTCTCAAAAACGACCTGGTTATTTTGTTAAAAAAATATATGTAATCGCTTATGTACACGGCTTATACGTTACTCTGTATAAATGCTATAATAAAGAAGGCTAATTATTCTAGTCAAACTTCGACAAAGACATTCGATAGATCTGGTGAACTTTGCGTAATAAAACAAGAGTGAAGGGAAGACGCGTGACAGCTCGAATTAAACGAAACAAAAATCGAGAAAAAACCGTCTCCCCACTCAAAATGTTAGTCTTGCCGTTCTCTACCTTGCAACTTCAGTTTACATACAATTGCTGTAAATCGATTGGTACTCATTTATCGCGACCTTTTACGTTTCCTGTAGAGTTATTAATTTAAAAAAGAAAATTCGTATCAAAAGCTATATCGAACGTGTCACTAAGAAAAAAAGAGAAGAAAAGAAATAATCGCGTTTTCAATTAGGTACCATAATGAAAATAAATAAATGTATAATACTAAACTTGTCCGTTGTAAAAATTCGCACTTTGGGTTTCGTTGCAACAAGAAAAATGCACTGTTAGTCAACGACTGTTATCGGGTGACGAATAATACACGGATTACATATTACGTACCCTCCTAAAGTATCTTTTTGTAATTTATCGATGGCAAGAGTTTCTTTAGTACGAACAAAGGTATTTTAAACGGCTTTAGCAATGCTGGCAATACGCATTCGTTTTTCAAATAGCATAACATTTCGAAAAAGAAATATATTAGTGATGGCGCATTCCATATACTAGTCACTATCTTCCAGATCAGCAAAGTGAATTGTTTACGTTCATTTTTTGTAGCGACTCTCTCCTAAAGCAGATAAAAATTAATTACCATTAAAAGCTATTGAAATAATTAATGAGATACCCCCTTCAAGCCACGTGCAATCTTTTTCGTTTCACAGGCTACAAGCAGTTGTAAAGTCAAAGTTTCACTGACATCAATATAACGCACGAATACAAGACGCATTGAAGATAACATTGAACATTAATAACATAAATAAAAATCTGATAAAATATCATTGCACTGAGCCATTGCAAAGGCTAATCAGAGATTCTTATATATTTATTACGTCAAGTATTACAGATCACAATACTTTGATCAGCATAGGATATTAAATTGCCAACGGTAATATTTAGTGAAACTTCAATATGGCTTGAAGAGTTGAAAAGCATGATCAGGCAATTTAATTCGTGCTAGATACGAGCAATGTCATCGTGATAAAGAAAAACCATGAATTACATGCAATCTAAAGAGTGCCATTTTATAAAAGCTGTTAACATATGCAGATACCGTGTGGGATTTGCAAAACTGTCCCTACGTACTGTTGATTTATTTACCTGAATTAACGATTCGGTTTCCCGATGACTGTCGTTTACAAAAGATTCCGCTGTGCTGATATCGTCGTCCTCCTCGTGATCTAGCATAACTGAGAGCTCGTCGTGCGTCCTGGTGTCGACGCTACGCAAGCAGCGTCCGCAAAGATGGCCTTGTCTAGAAATTTATCGAATTTACAATAAAAACGAACGACAGTCGATACCGAATAACAGTATGAATTTCGATAGTGAGAAATTTCTTGAAAAACTTCAACGACCAACGTCGTATTATCATTAAAAAAAAAGTCTTTTCACGCTAGGTACCTCACTTCCTCCAAAGCATTGATCTCTTCCTGAAGATTCTTCATATCCTGCGCCTTGTTTCTCCAAGCATTGAGCTGCTCCTCGAGGGAATTATTTTCCTGGACAAGAGACGTTAGTTGCTCGCGAAGTTCAGCAGCTCGTTTCTGTTCACGTGCCCTTTGACCTTTGGCGTCCTGCAACTGCCTCAGGAGATCCGTAACCTCTTCGTCCTTCGCCAGGGTGCTCGCCAATTCCCGGACATTCGAGTCCACTGTACTCGTCGAGGAAGGACTGACCGGACACGAGGCAGCCTCCTGTATTAATAATTATAGTAATAATTCTTAATGCGTGCACATTGCGGAGCAATTACGCAAGAGGAATAATTATAAAAGTTTTAATAGCAAGAAGATTGCTTTCTATTGGATTTAAATAACAATTTACCTTTTTTATGCTGCCATCTTGCGGGGCCGATCCTTTCCAAACATCTGTGGTCTGAGATTGCGCGGTATTTCGGGACTGACTTGAATTATGCTGACGAAGGAAAGCCTCGTACCGGACTGTGAGCTCGTCGAATTTCTTTTGAAGATCCTCGCATCGTGCCTCAAGATTTTCGATGGTTAAGCACTGACTGTAACGAGGATATGAATTTACATTACTTTTCATTATAATTCAACTCCTTTCATAAGTACGGTTTAACTAGCCAGTATTCTGGACACGTGACTCAACTCAATGTGCAAACTGACCTTTTTATGAGCTTCTTGTCGCCACTGTTTTCGAGGGCTAACCGATGATTCGCACGCTCCAAGTCCTGGATACTGACTTCCAACTGCTCGTAAATCTTTAATCGAGAATCGTTTACTTCCCTCAGGGCAGCAGTTTGCTTTTTCATATACTGCAAAAAAGACGTGGCGTCAACGAACAAGTTAATCGACACGGTAAAGAGACTGCCGTCGTCTCAATAAACATTGTGCACGCAGGAATGACGTCTTGACGAAGTCAAAAGGTCGAGTGTAGCGTCTGATGTTAAGAATAGTGAAAAAAAAAAAATGGAAATTTAAATTATTTCGCAATCAAAGCAAATATTTTTAATTCTTTATCATCTACTTTTCAATGAGTCATCGGTCTTATGATGTAGACACACATTTTTTTAAGATTTCATGCATTTATGCAATACACTATGAATGATTTAAGAATAATTGCATGGCGAACATCCAAACGAAGCAAATTAACTATAGTATTTTTCACGATTCTATATTCTCTGACACGAGTCCCCTTTTGGAGCAATGAGGATCAGGTGCTCTGGTAGTATTTAGGAAGTACTCTCTTTGCTCAAGCTGATCCGGCTTGCCGGCAATTACGACCTCTAACGAATTACTAATTCATTTAATTTCCTGAATAACATTTGCATGATTACGTATCCACGTTAATTGTTATACGTACTATAAAATTATGAACTACGGTCAATTTCAATACAATGACAGTTTGATGAATTATTGAAATTACGATACAACGACCAAATATTATTTAATTCGCCATAACGTCACAGCTATAGTAAGAGTTTGAAAATTTTTCATACAATGAAAATTTTCATACAAATTTTAACAAGTGCAATTCTTTACAATTGAGATTTATACAACATAATTTTACTCTTTGATAAGAATTAATGCACAATTATAAGTACCTCTATTTCTTGAGCTTGCTCCTCAATGGTGGATTGATGGTGTTTCACATTGTTTTCCAATTCTTTGTTGCGTTCCAGCAAAGTCTTGCCAAGTTCAGCAGCCAATTGAAGATCTGGAAAAGACGTGGAAAAAAAAAATAGATTATAACACAAGTCTGAACATAGCTTCAAGTAGTTACTACATTTAAAATGAACGCGTAATTAGAGACAGTGATTAGTATCTGTAATATATAATTATGAAAATTGAACCCTTACAATTAATGAGATTTCAGACAAGTCTCATTGAACTCGTATGAACTAACGGTAACAATGCTTCGTCTTTGATTAGCTGCTCTTACAAAGTGTTATAATTACTCGAATATCCGTTATATGAAAAAGATAATTATAAACGAAAATTAATCAACAAGTCGTCGTTCCTTGGCAAAACCTTACAACAATTTTTAATTTCAGACCTCGCCTCGACTTATCGCACAACACGACCTTACATCCTCTTGATACAATTACGTTACAACGAACAATGGACGCTTTCATGTAAAATCAACGTCAAAAGAATATTCAATCTCCAAGACGAATTGTTAAAATGTGACGTACAAAAGATACAAGAAAAACATAAACAATTTATATGCAGTAAATTAATTTTCCACGTGCATTTTAAATATGAAAATTCATGTCCCTGAGAAAATTTTTAACCGGCATTAAAATCGATGATCGAAAATATTCGGGCCGATCGACAACATAAAAAGTATCGAACACGGACACGAGGAACGTCCGGTACTTTTTTCATTTTATTTTTCTATACTAATCAGTAATACCAGACATTTTTTCATGCCACTGGCGTGCCACGCTGTGCTTTATGCACGTCTTAACCTAATGGCGATTACGAAACGTGATCAACTGTCATTCTACAACTACGTTCTTTATTTTTAAATTGATTTCGTGGAATCAAAAGAAAAATTCTCAGCCCATCCCTGTTCCTTCGAAACTGACTGATGTTTCTGAAGACAAATGACAATAACACACAGTGACTGCCAGACCATCTAAACGATTATTGAAACATGTACACCTATTGCTGTAAGGTGAATCTACAAGTGAATGGACACGTTCGCCGCGTAACCTGTATATATACATATATATATATAATGATTTGAAAACGGGAATATACTCACTGAAGAAGTTTCTTAATATATTTATTTACCGGTAAATTTACCCTATTTTCATGTTTAACCATAATATAACTTCCTTGTGTCACGTAAAAATAATTTTGTTTTTCCTTATCAATGACGACGCGTAAACACTAAATCTCACTAGACAAAATGGATACTGGATTTTCTGTTTGCTCGATGCATACATGAATTAGGCATCGCGTGCACTCGCGCTGTAAGGAATCTATAAGTACGTATACATGTATACTAAACAACAACGTTCTTTCAGAAAGTCCCACGCGAAATATGCTTTTGTTATTTCTCGTATGAAGTATGCCAAGTGTTCGAACGTTGCATTGAAGATGTCGTAACGGAGACTCGTTAATAATAACGTAGTAAAGTCTTGAGAGAAAGTTTTTTTTTTATAATCGTTATTACCAGTGTCAACTGTTATAAATTAATAGATAAAGATCAAAACACGACTTTCGATTATTATTACGGTTGTAAACTAAATGATGATTATTATCGATACTAATAAAATTTTCTCAATCAATTGGACATCAGGTAAACCGGGTAGTATGTACACGTGCTTTTGCCTAGCCTAACGGTAAAAACAATAACCGCTCATAATACAAAGTAATGAATGCGTATATAGATAAAAATTTTGTGACCACCGTAATTTAACAATTTGTTATGCCAAACATGTTAAATGGTTAATTAGACAAGTCATTAGTCGCGCTATTCGAGAAACAGTCGGACTCGTGTCGGTAATGAAGTCATTTAAAGAAGCAACCGAATTTTCAACTGTTATCCAGCAGCACCGAAACTGAATAATTAACTGCACCGAAGCTGGCAACATGTTGAAATAGCTATAGCAAACAATTTCATGTAGCAGCGTGTCATTAGGAATGTAGATATATTGATAAGACATAAAGAATGGCATTAAGGATTGGTGGAATACAAAGGTAAGTGAAGGCGAGTCCTGTCTCAACAAGAATGTACATTCCTCCTTGCCGACTAAAGAGTTAGACTGGACGGAACGTCCATCAAAATGTATACAAGGGCAAGGACCTCGGGATGTCTTTCCTGTCCAGAGATCTAGGCACGTAACATATATATATCGTGTGTGTATATATATATATATATATATATATATATATATAAAATATAAAATCATCTCCATAAGCACTGATAAAGTTAAATCACAGTCGCCACACACGTCACTCACTGATAACACGACACACAACGATGATAAAAATAAATAACCCCTAAATCACCAGGAGTCTTTCTAACATAGTAAATAAAACATTCCAGGTTAATACCTTCGGGTCCCTGAAGACAAGCAAATTCGATGGAGTAATCCCAGCAGTCAAGGGAATTTATCTGGGCCTGAGGGTCCCAGACAATGTCGACACTAGGTCCGCTCATTTTTCTTGGTATAGAATATAAACAGAGCAGGCGCGCGCGCGCAGAGGCGCTCGACACTCGAGAAAAAAAAAAGAAGAAAAAACAGACGCTAGACAAAACAATTCTCTACGAAAAGAAGTCCGCAGGAATGTTTTCCTTCGAGGAGCGCGACGTTAGTACGAAGACGGAATCTCGGCGAAGGAGAGAGTACATTAAGCTGATAAAGTAACAGAAGCTATCGAATAACGAGCAAGACGGGCCAGACTGCAGGTTGTCAATCGGCAACCGGTTCCTCCGACGGCAACCGCTGTTCTGTGAACTGTGAATCGTGATGACCACGGCAGCAGAGAACGTGGCACCGTATAACGTTGTTAATATCCCCACCACATTCCCCACGAACAGAACCCCTACCACTTTCAAGTAAACAGCCCCTTTCACCTGCCACTTGCACAGTCGTCGTACACGAGGACGGCGTCGGCGTCTTTCTCGCCCTGCGGTACCATTTTTTAAATTTCTCCCACCGCCTGACGTTCTCTCGGGGGATGTTCAGACCGTTGCGCGATACTCTCGGAGAAGACGTCCTAGTTCTTCTTAGAGTGCGTTCTCCTCGAGACTATTCACGACTTCTCTCTTACCAGCACGAGAGTTGCGCTGCCGTGTGTGTTAACCCTAAGAAGCTTATTAGCGTGTACGCTCTTTTACCCGGCACGGACAATATATATATGTATATCGTATCGCTGGTACCAATGGACGATGCGCTTCTTCTTTTTCCTGCTTTCAACGATCGCATACGGATCAACGTATGCATTTCGCCTTGAGGCAATTTCATTTTCTTCTTTTCTTCGTCTTTATGAACCTGGTCTTATTTCTTTTTTCCTTTTTGCTAACTACGCCGTATCGCGGGAAACGAACTTTCTCGCTTGGTACAATTTAATCGCGACATACGCGCCTACGCATCTGCGAGATACGAAAGTGCGAGTATTGTTCCAAGTTGGAATTTTAATGGGCATCTACCCCGTATGAGCTTCACGTGTAATTAGAGAAGTACCATTTTAAGCGTCGGATGATTACTGTCAGGCGTGTTTCTTTGCTATGTCGCCATAATACGGCAATGCCAAAACCAACGACTCTTACTGTCCTTTGTGCGGTAGACATATGTGAAAAATCCCAGCTTAGGAATTTACGTGTCAGGGGCCATCGTCCTGGTTACTTTTCTCAACATGTAAATTATCTGCTGGACGCTGATAAGAACAGTGATAAAAGATTAATTGTGTTAGCATACGTGCATTCTTGCGTAATTTATTAATAACAATTTAAAAGACAGTTCAAGGATCAACGAACACGTGATTTCATTTGTACTGTATTACGACGACAGGCATTTCCTGCTATCCGAGATCTCCAGGAGCGTCAACCTAACACACAGAATTTTATGATGATTACAGAGATCGAAGATCAAGCCAGTTGGCAACTCCATAAAATGTATAACATTATAACGTTCCGATAACCCTTGTGCAATGTGACTTAGCGACTGGTCGTATTAAATAGAAACAAATATTAATTTTATTCGTCAATTATGAAATGTCATTAAATTCCAAAAATTAAGTCTATGACTCATTAAGATAAGGTAATTTAACAAAAAAAAACAATTGAACGAAACCTCGTTAAAAAACTGCATTTTTAACGACGACCTATAGTTACAGTAATTTTAACAAAATTTTTCAGAAACAAACAGGACGATAATCATTTAACGACCAAGAATTTAACTGTCACTATTGACCCTTGACCCAGTCGTATAGGTAGCGAAGCGTATATACCTGCCATATAATCATAACTATAATTTCACATATGACCACGCGTTCATATACATAAAAAATGTAATTTACGTAACTCCTTAGGTAGTATATACCATACGTGAGGTCCGCAATCTTCATCAGATCCTCATTCTCCGTTCTATTCCCTCTATATATATTTTCTTCTCTTACTTAACATAAACAACCAGTGCGTGTCCAGGGACATGCGTACATACCTGTACACGATTAGACACGATGATATCTGCTCAACGGCTTTACAACAAGAGAACTTGTGTCTGAATGAAAGACAACCGTGATTGCGCAATGGATAAGAACGATACGAAGATTCTCGGTGTATTATGTATAATAAATAAATTCGTAAAAAAAATCTTAACTATAATTAAATCGGCCAAAAAGAAAGTCGACAAGCAGATACACCAAGCTGGTGAGAAAGAAGAGTTAATTTTTTTCTGTAAAAATTTTCAATTTTCAAAACAATGTACCTCGTGTCACATATATCTACGTAAATTTGTATACATGTGTATAAGCAGTGCAGGGCGGCTGTCTTGAGTATACTGTAAGCAAGAAAAAAGAGCTGGCGCATATATCAGGCATAATACGAGTGCGGGAAACAAGACGGCACACACGGTTTCTACTGTGGTATTTGCATTACATGTAATGTAAATACGTATATATTGGCATTCGCATCGTATATATACCATATAATGAAACCAAGAAACACAATGGACGACAGGTACGTTCTTGCGGATATCAGCCGACCGATTTCACATTCCGTTAATTCATTGGACACCGTTTGTATTTTTATTCTCATCATTGTCCCACGTTAGGCGGAGCAACGTTTCTCTCTGATGATCTTCGTGTAAACGTATCTTGCCATCCTCTCGCGAGGTTAGATATGTCGGGGACATGCTTAACGGGATTCGGAACGTGTTAGGACAAGTTATAAGTTATATCTTAAATATTTATACGATAAATAAAGCTTCGCGTCGATGGTTAATATTTAAAATTAAATACTTCAGCGGTTGGGCTGGTAATGATAATCTCGTAGCTTTTTTTTCACGCGGCAAATGTTATCTAACTACTGTACAACTACTCTTTACGAAGACAGTGTATATGGATATTCGACGGTTACACCAAAGTCCATTGACTAATTGTTTGAATATTATTACAGTCGGTAATTTGCTTTTTGTAAGATTTTTAAAAACATTCGCCAATCAAATCAACAGTAGATCAATCATCCAGCAATCGCAGTGTAACACCCACTCCAACAACTGTTAGTAGCTAAATAAAGGTAAACGCCTACTCGGGTGTCACATTCAAAAGATTCCTAACAAGAATGTCACAGTAAGTTTGTTACGTCCGGTTACGATGTAAATTGGTACGATGCGTTTAGATAAAGAAATTTAATCTCGATTATATTTCTTTCCATAAATGTATTCTTATACCGATTAATTTCAAAGGTCGGTTCCCACGTGTAATTGTTAGCGAGCTATATACATATACAATTCACTTCGATCTACGCAAGATGCGATTAACTCGAGAATAGTCACGCGATTTTGTTTTTCATTTGAACAGAATTGACAATGAGTCGTGGAGTGTCCTCGGAGACGCGCGCGCCTCCTCTCGGAATTAGTCGAAAGCAGTCGACACACTCGACTGTCAGATCCAACATGGCGGCCGTAATCGCACGAGAGTGAAACCCTTCGGATGAAAATGCCCCCGACTGGTCGTCAATCGTTGTCCCGCGGGTAACCAGTTACGAAGTGCGTAGGTACACAACGAGTGACTCCCATTCCGCTAAAGGAACTCGAAACTCACGGCGAATGGAAAATATTCCCGCCGCCCACGATCGCTTCGTGAGAACTGGCATGGTCGAATATCTCATTGAAAACGACGACGACGAATTCCAGGATATATAACACAGTGGATGTAAATGTGAGACTGGCAGCTGATTGTTATACGCAATTGTATACGACACGCGAGACATTGTAATTATGAATTGACAAAAAATTGGCAATTTAACGAAAGTAAGTATGGACAATAATTACGTTAATTAATCAGAGTCTCGGCGATATCCACGCGTAAGTATAACGAGTAGGCCAAGATGGCGACCGGAAGTGATAAAAAAAATCTAGATAATAGTAACATTTAAGTTAGTACATTTCTAGAAGGTTCGCGTTGTGGATAATAAGTATAGTCGTTTTTATCTTGGCAATAGTGATCGCATTGAAATTACCGACAATAAAGTCCATGCTTCTGTACGTTGGCGTGAATGCTAATTTACGATGGGTAATAATCAATTCGACGTGGGTGTGCTAATTGCAATTTATTACCAGATATTAATTACGGAGGTAAGATTGTTAAATCCTAACACGTGAATAGAGATACACGTACGTTTCTTATCAGCTACGTGTTATTATGCTGAAAAATCTTTATTCACTTTCAAACGTATACTCGATAGACACGAAGCCAAATTCTTATCTGATCGTTTCAGTTTCAAGGAGAGTCTCAAGGATATTAAAAGTATCGCTGCTAGTAGCGGATACAGCTTGGGGCTTATTTTCACGAACTACTTTCTTCATCGATAGTCATGAAATCATGTCTGAGCAAGTTCAGTCTGCCACGGACTACGCAAATATCCTGGACTGGCTACGCCTTTGTTTGACGTATTTGGCTAGAAGCTGAGTGGACAGTACACAGCAGCCAAGACACCATAACGGTCGCTTGGGTATAACGGCAGTGAAATAAAGCGCGGCTGACATTTTTCAATAAGTTCTATCAAGAATGCGCGTAAAGGAGTCACAGTTAAAAAATATCGCCATCTAGCTGCAAGATAATAAACCATTATTGGCTAGAGGCTCGATGACAACAGGAACGAAGGAAACGCTTGCGAGGGATTGTTTGAAATTTATTACTTGGCAAAGAGCACGTATGTACATATGTACGAGCATGTACGACGTATGTACTATCCTTTGTATTTTACGGTATCCATTTTAAAATCATACAATACGCGCACGAGATTTACATGACAAATATGGTTGAAGGATATAGCAGATTTTTTTCCCCTCTACAATAAAGCACGTGGACGTCTTTGGATTGAGGATGAAATTAGATAAATAAATATAAGGAAGAATAACCGATAGTTCCACGCCTTCTTATTATCCTCTCTCGTTAATTCTTTTTATTAATTTTTTTTTTTTTTTCTTTATTGTCGAGACGATGGAGCTCTTTTTATCTAAGCAGTTGTTATAGGGACAAATATGGGCATATGGGATTGAAATTTGAAAGCCACGTGACAAAAAGAAAATCTGTGAGACGTTTTATGGACGTAGCAATTCTTTCTAAGTAACGACTCTGAGCGATGTAGCCTAGTATTTGGTCGTCTGGGTTTTCGAAAATGTCTCGAAAAGAATCGTATAACTGTACAGTCGTAGATAAAAATATTTCACGGAATTTCGCCAATTGTACTCTTACAGATGGGTTATTAAATTTTACTCGGAGTCTCATCTGCCACTGAAATGTCCCGTTTCGTTCTTTTATCAGAAGACAATATAACGTTTCAAGTCTGCATCGGTAAATATGCCCTTACCTGTCGGTACTCATAGTTATTCTCTATGGGGATGCATTTGGTTGACGCCCTAACCCATAATGCACCTCACTTAAGTCTCATTCTGAACAAGAAAGTTGCTAATCCGAAGATCTCGACAGTTAGAAACGCGGCCTTAAGCAGCCGAGATCGAAACCCGCAAGACGTCAAATATTGAACAAGAAATTCATACCCAAATAGATTTACACGAAAAAATTTGTTCAACGGATGAAATGAATGCACAAAAAATCAATAGACTGTACTTAAATAAAATAATTGTAAATTTCTCTATCACATATACCAGATAACACGAACTTTCTATCCTTATTAATATTCACTCAAATACAGTTCCTCAAATGCTTCAATAATCTTCGTTTAAGGCATGCTCGAGCTGTGATTGCTTTCAAAGAAGGATGCGATAACTAAAATAAGGATTGCCGAGCACTCTAGATCACGATACTTGATAAGAGCATAATAAATATAAAAGCAAGAGAAGCTCGTTACCTTATCTCGAGAAGCTCTTACCATTTTAAATATACGTAAAGAATAATAGCAGGTAACGAGCAGAAACATCAAGCCGAGTAACTGGAGGTAATACAAGCTCAAGATCTGAAGAAGCGTTTAAGTAAAGACACAACGTGCGATATAATGACGTTAAAGGAAATGAAGGTGTGGCCTGCGGAAGCCTTGAAAAATAAGCCCAAAGAAATCTAACAGGCGAGAGTTTACACGAGCGACAAGTCTTATACGGGCGTCTTAACGTTCATTCATAGAGACTCGACCACATGAAGACTTGTCAGTCCTTTGCTACTTGGATGTCCAATACAGTGTAAATAAAATATGACACCAGTCCGTTGCCCATTGATTATGAAATTTTAAGAAGCGTATAGATCGATATGCAGTCCCTTCTTCTTCTTCTTCTTCTTCTAGTTCCTTATGGCTTTATGCCCTCATAGAGGGCCAAGTGCCAGAAGCGTATAGATCGATACGCAGTCCAGCACGTCACCCTAGAGAGGGTGCGTTCGGAAATGCACTGACAGTACTGTAAAAGTAATTACATCTCTCTTAGATGCTTACGGACGAATAAGGACACAGCGTTGGTTACAGTACTGGCAATACTGTCACAGTACATTTCGGCACGCACCCAGACTGTATTGTCGTGAGATTTTCCCTAGGCAATTCGTATCGTCGCACGCTATCTCGCTAGAAAAAGTGCGATCGTGACGCCACGTCGCTGCGCTTTGGTAAACTACTGGTAAGAAAATATAGAAAAACATGAACGACGTTGTTTACTTACGGGAGAGTTGTCTTTGGGTAACCCAGTCGAATGCAATTATCCTGACTGTTGGAATAGTTACGAATAAATAGAGAAGTACCTAATCGCTAATGAAAAATGGCTGCGAACTAATTTGCTTAAGTTCGTGGCAGAGTAAGCCCGGTCGCTCGACGTAAAATATAATGAGAGCCTTTGAAAGTTATTACTACGTACAGCATTGCCGATAGGCATTTTTCAAACGGATATGACGACTTCGTCCTTTTACGGTATTGCGACTCGCCGGAAGTGGTGCTCGAGTGATGCGCAGAATTCAACGTTGTGATCGAGAGGAGTTAAACTTTTTGAGCAACGTCCAATGAGTAATTAGCACTGTTAATATTGATTACGCGAGAGTTCTCTATAATAATAATAACAACGGCAAAATCCTAATTTAAAAGTTTCAAAAAAAAAAAAAAAGTATAAAAATTTAATAAATTCTACTGCCCCCTTACCATCGCCTAAACCATTGTAACAGAACAAAAAATTATTTTCAACTAGATCAATAACGATCGAGCTCATCCGAGAGAGAAGAAGATCGGTCCCATCGAGTCCGTCCTCTCACATCCTGAATCATCGACCGAAAACTGTGTCCCGTCTTGGAGTGCAGTCGAGCATGGTGAGTCGTATGAGTCTGTAGATGCATAGATAGGAATTTCGCAGCCGGAAGTGGCACGTATCGAAAGAGAAGAATGATCTCGCATCTATAAAGCATGAGTGCACATAGATATCCACCAGGAGAATGTCACGCCCACGAGGTACCATTTAATTCGAGGTGCATTAACGGGGACAGGAGCAGCGTGAGAACGGGGCGGGAAATTCAAATAGCTGAAATGGGCGTTTAAGCAATATTAGCAGTATATGCTAAACGTTATGCCGCACGCCAAAGTCATTACGGCTATTAAATATGGCAAGGTATATATGCATATATATAACATTACAACATAGAAACGTAGCTGGCGCATTTTAATCTTAGCGTTACCATAGAGACCGCACACCTCCACCTACCCGAGGCCAAAACACCGTTCCATTCCAGGTCACAACGTCCTGCGCCTAGGTATCTTTCATGCTGCTGTTGCTCCTGCTGTTGCTGGACGTAGGCATCTTGCCGAGCCACGGGTAACCGTGGCCTGTCGTAAACTGCATACCGGTACAGTACCGTTAGAACTTTAATCGTTGACTGCATTGGCTCAAGTTCCGATCATCGAATTGGTCCTCGACCTTAGATGGATTAACGGTATGAGGATTAGGACCGAGAGAACCTTAAACCTTCGACTGTCCAACGACCCTAAACTGTTTGTTGGGTTCGCTGGGAAACTTTAAGTACCCCATTTGCACCTCGAATGAATTACGAAGGTCCGCGAAGTAACCCAAGGCACCATATAAAGGCAGATCCTGAACTGCAGATACACATGCCACGTAGGAGTATACGAAAGTGGCCCTGAGTAGCTGAGACTTTATTCAGATTTTTGACTACGAGATACGTGACACTGACGTGAATGGGATCTTGAGAGGAGATGAGAATGATCTGACAGTTTCCTCTTTCTTTTTTTCCCCACACAGTCACGAAACACAGCGAACCCAAGTTTACTGTATTCCTTAGCGAGACGACTCGTCGCGATAGTCATCAACGATGTTTCCATGTATCGCATGACGTGTAAAAGTCGTACAGAGAAGCAGACGATTTGAATGATTAAAATCGTACAGTACCTTCGGCATAACACGGTCTGAAATATATACAAGTAATACGTCACGGATCTTGTCGTAAACTAGACGCCGAGCGCTGTGAACGTCGATGTATTTGGAACGTGAAAAGGAAAAAGAACAATGGCCTTGCGTGTCCGCCGGAAGGGGAGGCTGGTCCGGAATAAAAGTGAGACTGACTTACGATCATTTTATTATACGGGATATAAAGTAACGAAACGGTACCGTGTACCCTGCGAGTCGCGAGAAAGTGAAACGTTTCTTCGGCCACCTTTCTGACTCCTTTGCTTCGTCACTTTTAATTCACTTATCCTTACGAACTTCCTCTCCATCTTTTTCCCGCTCGCTGCCGTCCGCGCGTAAGACCGGAAGTACTAAGGACGATCTCGCCGGGACGCCTATAATTTTCTCAATCAAGAGTTCGTTGATCGACGGAAAACTCAAGGCAAATAATAATAATATCCCACGGGGTCAAAGGTCACGCGCGGTAGCATCGCTTACGCGCCTTTTTTATCATTACTTCCCATTAACCGTACAAACTCTTTCGTCCTTTCTCCGATTTCAATAACCTCGCGAGATCCGAGTCAGTCCGGTTCTACGACTTTGAGAATTAATCGACCTGCGAACCGTCGTTTCTGCGTTTCTCTCGTTATCGTCGATACAGGAGACGATGATTGATAATTTTTTTTTCCAATTAAACAAAAAAAATAACTCGCACAACAAAGTCGATCTTTCGAAACAATAAAATAAACAATACGTTCTCACGTATTACATACGTGTATTGCATCTGCCATGAGATAACAAAGTGAAGATTAAAAAAAATACGTTCAAAAATGTTTGCACGGCTAACAAGACAATAGATATTGTTTCGTTCTGCCTTATAAACTATATTTTCTTAAAATCTCGAAGCAACAACGTCCATAACCGAGTAAACGGCAAACAATCGTCCAGGATTTCTTATAGATTGTTCGAAGTATTTTCTCTCTCCTCCCCTCCCTATCCCCGGTCCATACATTCGTCTCTGTCATACATCCAGCATACAGTATCACGAGGGTCTTTGGCCTTAACGCGACTGCGGGTGGGTAGTTGGCTGCCGGTGAAAAAGGATCCAGCAGTTTATCGACGAGTACGAAACGGACGACTGACCACGTTGCCAGATACGATACGTCGATAACCTGTAAACTCGAGCTTAGTTCCCCGTGTAGGAGTAAGTATAGGGTACGGAAGAAGCAGACGTAAAATCCAAGCCAAGCGAGGGAGTCCTCGTTCGTATCCTATATACGAGCTCGAATGGACTATAGATAGTTTGTACGGTTAAAACGGCGATTATACCATCCGTACGTGCTTACTACGTGCTACGTTCAACGTACCAGAAGTATCGAGCTCTTTTCTACGATGAAAGAAAACAATAGAAATCCAATCGGATCTGTCCACCTGCCACAAGGTCATTATTCTATCGCGATCTAGGGATGGGTTGGTTATTAGATATTATCATAGCGATAGCACGAAGATAGTATATGGAATGAATTTAATTTTTAAA